ATGCTAAAATAATGTACAAATATGCTAAAAACAAAACCAACAAAATATGATAAAATGGATGCTGAATGTTAAAGTAGATGTGTAAGTATGCATGTATTATTGTGGGGGTGTCTTACTGTTTTTCTCTTTTGCCTTTTAATGGGTGTCTTGTATATTTAATAATTTAAAAATACAAATCAAGTAGAGAGGAGGAACATTCCAGAGAAGACTGAGGCCCTGAGTGTTGCGTGAGCTATTAAACTAACCGATAATTAATTGATTGATTTGTGGAGCCAGCCTGCTTCGCGTGGTGCATTCCAGATCAGTATAAGGAAATTAAAAATAAAAAAGTCCCGGACGTCTCCCGAGACGATTAAAGGTGATTATCAAAGCAGTCTAAATTGCCTGAGCATCTGTGTCCTCATTTTGCTCCACGGACGTCAAGCTGTCTTGCTTTGACTGATGATGACCCGATGGCTCCAAGGAGGAGATGAGGAACAACTGGGGCAACAAGACTGGAGACTTTTCTGGATTGTGCAAGAGAGACATTGCTGAAGGTTTCCTTCCTTCCATCCCCAGGAGCAGTTTCGCCTGATACCTCGACGTCACAGCCTCACCCTGGATTCAGCTGGAATGCAACACAAGCAAGGAGACGTCCCAAGCAAATCCTGCCTTGCAGGATGGAGTGAAAGAGAAGTCAAGGAATCCAACTGGGGCGACCCTTTTAGCACACTGGATTTGATTTTATTTATGCAGTGGGCCCTTGGTATCCACTGGGATTTGCTTCTAGGATGACCCCATGGATATCAAAATCCATGGATGCTGAAGTTCCATTAAATGGAATGGCATAGTAAAATGGTGCCCCTTTTATCAAATGGCAAAATCTCTGGATTCTCAAGTCCCATTAAATGGAATGGCATAGTAAAATGGTGCCCTTTATATAAAATGGCAAAATCTCTGGATGCTCAAGACTCATTAAATGGAATGGCATAGTAAAATGGTGCCCCTTCTATCAAATGGCAAAATCAAGGTTTGCTTTTTGGGATTTAAATTTTTTGGACTATTTTCAATCCGTGGATGCTTGAATCCATGGATACGGAGGGCTGACTGTACGCTGCCTTTCTCCTCACAAAACGAACTTTAAAAACAATATGTTGAAAACAGAATGAAAAACATCACATCAATTTGTGTGTGTGTGTGTGTGTCTTCAAGTTGCCTTCCAATTTATGGCGACGGACCTCATGAATTTCATAGGATTTTCTTCGGCAAGGAAGACTCACAGTTCCTTCCTCTGAAATGCAGCCTACAGCACCTGATGCTCCCTGGAGGTCTCCCATCCAAGGACTAACCAAAGTTGACCCTGCTTAGCTTCCATGATCAGATGGGATCTGGTGCCTTTAGAGATTTTTTTGGCACCCTTGCAGATTCAAAAACTGGCCCACTCATCAAAGTGGGTGAAATGAACAGGTGTCCCCAGGCCTTCAACCTTCCAGTGTGGTGCATTGAAACACCCATTGTCCCCAGCAGTGTGTTTGTGTGGGTCCTGGAAGTTGTAGTTCTCCTTCATACCACCACAGTTATGATCCTACTTTAACTACTATGGCTACATCTTGGAGATCCCACTGCACTAAGCATGGGCTTGGACTCTATGGCCCATGAGATTCCTTCCAACTCTGTGATTCTATAACTCTATCCTCTGGAATCCTGGGATTTCTAGTTTGGTGAGGTAGCTGGAATTATCTGCCAGAGAGCTCCAATTGCTTGGGGAATGGACCAGAGCTTTCCACAAGGATGATACCATTCCATACTAGAAATCCCAGCATTCTGCATGATTGAGCCATGCTCCACCTGAATCAGACTTCCATAAATATGCAGTGTGGCTACACCGCTTGTAAACCAAGAGAGATCTGGAGTGTCACCTAGGCACCCATGGCTCATTTCTACTCTTGGGTAGATGCCACTTCCATCACCTTAGGGAAAAAGCAGAGAGACTTGTTCATTCTTGTGACTCATGGCATCTCCAAGACCTTGGAAACCTTGGCTCCTATCCCTGAAAACCTCCATGCCATGCAACTACTTTGGTGCAATATAGAGGATAAGCCAGGCATGAGCTTGGGATTTACCAATCCAAATTGTATTTCACCAGCATGGAATGACAGATTGCATCCGGGGGATTCCCACCGTGAAAAGTGATTCTGAATCAGGCGGTGAGTCAGACACGATGCCTTCCAGAAAGATGCCTTGCTTGGAGGCCATGAAACCCGTGGAAAGGACCAGATGAATAACAAGGGTTGTTCTCCATCTGTCCTCAACTCGCCTTGAATCCCATTGTGGGAGAAAAGCGGGATATAAATCCTTAAGATAAATAATAAAATAAAATAAAATTCTCTATTTCAAGTCACATGAGGCTGTTTCTGTCTTGAAGCGACTACACTGGATCTCCATAAGCAGCACTAGCCAAAATCCAATGGAGGTAAGAAGCCAACACATTTTTTTGTCCAAAAAGGGAAGGTTATATTTTGACCATGAAACCCACTGGGTGACTTTGGGAAAGTCACATGCTCTCAGCCTCAGGGGAGGACAATGGCAAACCTCCTCTGGACAATATGCATCTGAGGAAGTAGACTGAAGTCTATGAAAGCTCATGCTGCCCACTTCTTTGTTTTAGTTAGTCTCAAAGGTGCTACAAGATCTCTCCTCTGAACAAATCTTGCCAAGAAAACCCCATGATAGATTTGCCTTTAGGGTTGCCATAAGTAAAAAACAACACACAACAACACACAACAAATATATTGGACACAATTGCCTTGCATTTGAGGCAATATAGAGAAGCCAGGCACTGCCAGCAATATTTCAGAGGAAAGAACTGGCAAAACCAACTCTGAGTATTCTTTTCCTAAGAAAACCCTATCAAATTTATGGGGTCACCATAAGTCAACAAGAGACTTGAAGACACATACAGATATCCTAAAGGCACCAGATCCTGTCTGATCTTGGAAGCTAAGCAGGGTCAGCCCTGATTAGGACTTGGATGGGAGACTGCCAGGAAACCCAGGCGCTGGAGACTCTATTTCAGAGGAAGGAACTGGCAAAACCAACCCTGAGTCTTCCTTGCCTAAGAAAACTATATGAAATTCATGGGGTTGCCATAAGCCAAAGGCAACTTGAACGCACAAACATACAGAGAAATGGTAGTGTTTTGACTGGGCTGATACTTCTATTTGTTGTTGCTGTTAACTGCCCTCGAGTCGATCTTGACTCATGGAGACCCTATGGATGAGACATCTCCAAGAAGACCTCCTCTGCTCTGCTTAAATCCTGCAACCCTTTAATACCCAAAGTGACCTCCTTAATAATAGAGTCCCTCCATCTGGCAGCATGTGGCCTTCCTCTCTTCCATCCATTCCTCCATCTTCCTAGCATTATTGTCTTTTTCTATGAGTCCTCCCTTCTCATGATGTGTCCAAAGTACAACAGCCTCAGTCTGATCATCTTGGCTTCTAGGGATATCTCTGGCTTAATCTATCCTAGGACCCATTTGTTGGTCCTTTTGGCTCTCCATGGGATCTTCCATACTCTTCTCCAGAACCACATTCTCTCAAATCCATTGGTTTTCCTCTTATCTTCTTTCTTGACTGTCCAGCTCTCACATCCATCCAAGGGAATAATAGGGAATACAATGGCTTGTATGATACTTCTATACTGATGACGTTTTGGTCTTCAAGCAACAGCCTGGCCACAGATATAGACCAAGGTGGACAACTATAGTGGGCTTGGTGGCTGGTTTTCCACCCCATGACCTTCTATGGCGGGGGCATGTCAAAAATAGGATGGGAGGATGTAGAAGCGACCAGAAGTCCACTACTTTTTAAACAGATGAATTGCCTTTCTTGGAAATCTTTTTGGGATGCCAGAAGAAATACAGTCCAGTGAGTTGGAAGGACTGAGATCCACACAAAACAGTCATGGCCCTGTAGTGTTTTGGACAGTGTTCAGAGATACGTTGCACTGTCGCATGTGCAGCGATCAGGGTGCAGCCTGTGGTTGCAACCACTCTCCCCTCATGCATTCAGATTGCACACCTATGGCCGCATGAATAAGACTCGCAGTGCAAGCCGAGCCGGTCTTTTCCTCCCATAGGCATTCAGAAGCAAAACCAGTTTAGCGGGCGCGTTACAGGACGCTCCGGAGGTTGCTGTTTTGCTTCACCCAGCTGGCAAAGATAACAAACAAGCAAACAAATAAACAGATCCAAACGCAATGCTCTGATGAGCGCTGTGTCCTGGAGAAGAGATAAATTGGAGCACACAAAATGCATCAGAAAACCTCTGATTTCCCAGGAACATCAATATGTGCTTGAAAGAGAAGGCGAGCAAAAGGAAGAGGCCAGAGCAAAAGCAATCTATTAGAAATTCTTCAGACTTTCTCATGGGTTCATTGGAGTACAAAGCTCTGCCATAAGAGGCTGATGAGAGTATTTATTTATTTCATTTCATTTTTATGCCCCCTTTCTCCCAGAAAGGTACCCAAGGCGGCTCACAAGATAAAAACATTTTTTCATTTATTTATATCTTTATTCACAAGAATAAATATTATCAAATGTAATATACAAAGCAAATTATACAATTCCACCCCCATTTCCCAACCCAGACACCCATTCCCTAGTTCCCCCTAAAAAAGAATTTTCAAGATTTATTTTAGATCAAATAAAATTAGCTTTCTCCTTCCTTTATGGCATCTGAGTGAAGTAAACTATACAAAAAATAAAAATAAAATTAATATTGACAAACTCATATCATTTGCTATCTTATGTCCTTTCAAAATTTATAAGCCTACTGTCAACATCTTAAGAAATTAAGAAAGAGGTGCATGTTATATGCTATCAAGTCATTTCCAACTTATGGCAACCTTAAGGCGAACCTCTCATGCGGTTTCCTTGGCAAGATTTGTTCCAGGGTTTGCCATTGCCTTCCCCGAGGCTGAGAGAATGTGACTTGCCCAAGGTCAACCAGTGGGTTTCATGGCCAAACTGGGAGTCGAACCCTGGTCTCCAGAGTTGTAGTTCAGTGCTCAAACCACTACGCCGTACTGGCTCTCTGTCCCAATTTAGATTCAGGGATGATAAAAGTTCTAAAGGGGAAAATATTTATTTAGCAAGGGAAGTGAACCTTTTCAAGATCCCCTTCCCCAACCTCATAGGTTCCTGAGGCTTCTGGATCTCAGTGTAGAAGACTTCAAGAGTAGCCTCTTTCAGGAGGTTTAATTCACTGCCTGCCAGCAACACACCTAAATCTATGCAGAGGAATCTGACAGCCTGTCTCCGCTGGGATTTTCAAAGGGTTATTTCTTCCTTGCGGGGGAAAAAAAATGGCAGATGTATTTTAAGCCTAGCTTGAAACCCTTTTATTATTCAAAGTTTCTGGTCCATTTGAGAAATGCGATTAAATGTGACTTATGCTACTTGATGGAGAACCGGTGGAACCAAATCTGCGTGTTACTCTTGAATTCCTTATAAGGTTTCCCTTGGCTTTTCTTTGTCTTTTCTCATTTCAGAAATGGCTCTGTCTCTCTGCTTTTAGCTACAGCTCCACATTCCAGAGTTTTAGCAGGCAATCCTTTTCTTCTCACCTTGCCCCGAATCTCGATCCCAGGACAAACATTCATCTGTTTTATCGATTTATTGTGTGAGCGACAAGGGGGAATGTCATTTCTAGTTGCAGCGGGATGCTCAATCTTAAAACAAAGGAAGTCTGCTTCTTTCTGTTAGAATGATTCTCGTGTGTGAATTTAGTTCATTAACTGGTCCATTCGCGGGTGAAACATGTCCAATAGATCAACTAAGGTTTCTTCAAAGAGGCGGCAGTACTAGGCTTCACAAACTGTGGCTTCCATGTCACCGGGTGGTGAATCTGCTCTGGGGTTTGGTCTGAACATTCAAGCTGTCCACGGCTGCATCTGCACTGCAGAACTAATGCAGTTTGACA